CCTTTTTCTTTCTTCAGACTGAGCAAGCATGCATGGAAACTTCAGGACAGTGTTTTATTCATCTCTTGTCTCCTGAGTAGGAGAGGTTTCTAATTAAATGAAAAAAGTATCTGACATAAAGTGAAGGTTATTGAGAAAATCCAAGATTATTTACTATACAGTAATGCCAGCTTGCTTTTTGGATGGTCTTATATGCTTTGCTTGATCTGTAAAAGGACCTTCCATTTCATCATCAGGTTGGGAAATGTTTTGTTTACCATTAAGACTGGGTCAGTTATGACAACATACACTGAAATATTTCACCTAGCAAACAGTGAAAATAAGTTGTTTTTATGGTTTCAGAGCCATAAAATAAGTCCTCAATCTGTCTGAAATTCTACCAGTTAATTGGATACTGAGAAAATTCAGTCCATTTCTAATTTAGAAATGCTTTTTTTTTTTCTGCTTTCACTGAAATTCTCTGGACTATAAAAATCTCAGCCCTGACTTACTTGGGGTGGTCTCTACTTCCCTGCCTCATTGAACATAATACCTTTTTAACAACTTTTCTAAGACACAATTGGATCATCTCGTGTTACATCCCAGCCTTATGTAAGAACTAGTATTTCACAGCAGTTCAAGCTCAAGGCAATTTTATTTTAATTACTACCTATGACTGCTACTTAGCAATTCTGCCACTATTTGTTAGGCAGGATTAATTAATATTGTCTAGGCAACAGGCTGGAAAGCCACAACTGAAATGATATCAAGTTGTGTCAGTTCTCAGGGTAAGGTTTTGAAGGTGCTGGAGAACATATCTAGAGTCAGCGTCATGGTTTTTAGGTGTGTTTTGTTGCTGTCACGTTTCACTGAAGCCTTTTGAGGCTTAAAATCATACTGAAAGATTGATGCTTTTGCAGTCTCACAGAGCTGGGTTTTTACACCAAAGATGTGTAACTTTTCAGGGTCTTGGTCTCACCTCCCATCTCTGAAGACCTGCCAGCATAATTCAGAAATATCCTTATTTCCTTGTGTATCCTTTTATATCCTAGCAGCCACACATTATGGCTTTATGCTAAAGCCAGTATGACTTGCACAATGGTTTCTTGATGAGTGGTTATGAAAATATTTTCTTTGGGTAGATCTTCGTGGTATAGGGGAAAGCAAGATGCCATTTGGGGAACATGCCTTCTCCAACTGCCACCCTGCTGTTCCGCGGTGCTCAGGGTGAGGGGCAATGCTTTCACTTTTTTTTTTTTGCCCATCTTGGGGAATGTGTGTGTTTAAAAAGTCTTATGTTCTTGTATAGAAAAGTCTACCACAAATGCAGTCCTTTTGCGGAAAATGAATGGGTGTTAAAATTGCCTGTCAGCAGGGCAAGTTTGAACAAGGATGCTTGCACACACCTATATCCACTACTGTGTAAGCCTGAAGTAATGAGCTACACCTGGTTACCATGAAAAAAATAAAGTGCAGAGCAAGAATGCCTTTCCCGCAGGATCCTCCGTCACTTTTTGAAATTATTTTTTATTTTATCCTGAGACAGAAGCATGTACCACTACTTTGCTACTGTATTAAGTATGGATCTGAGACACTTGCAAGCAAGATGCTCCTAGCTGTGGGACACTTTGTATTTTCCCAGTGCCTTTCTGATAACAGCTACTGGTTAACAGAAGAAAGAATATGAGGATTAGGATTATAGTTGGTTAGAAGATGCAATCAACTTTCTGTGGATGTGCCCTGCAATGGGCTAGATCTTCAGCTGGTATGCAGCAGGTTGGTTTGAAAGAAGATGCTTTGAACATTATTTGCTGCCTTCCCCCAGACTTGGGGTTTCCATGCATTGCTTTCTATCTGATGGCTGGATAAAATGGCTCAGTTTGCCCAGAACTGAGGACAAGCAACCAGCACGAGTCAAACTTTGAGCGCTTTGTACCTTGCCCGTTCCTGATGGTAAACTAGTGAGATCTCATAAGCATTAATATCCTCTCTGTGATGATGGCACTCAGCTCCCAACTTGCCCAGAGAGACCTCTGACTGGTCTCTCACGACTGTGAGTGAATGCTGAGATTTTCAGTGCAGTCTCAGGATTTTCAGCCAAGAAAATCCCAGAAAGGAAAATTTGTTAACTTCTTGTGCTACCTTTTCCCTTCTAGTGTTCTTGACGTCTACTTTATTGTTTGTCTTGCTCCTGAACAGCAGGGTTAGGGTTTTTTTTCTGGTTGTGATCAGTCTCTTGCTAATATTAATGAAAATGTCTGGACCTACAAGAGTAAGCAAGCACAGGAGTCACAGGACTAATTTTAAAAAATAAGTATCAGAGGAAAAAAACTACAATTGGAAGTCAATCATGTTGCTTCTCAGTATAATTCTATTTCTAAACTGAAACTCCAGATTAAAGGATGAGGAGCACATAGCTCTTTCCAGTGAGAGATTTTTCCATATGATGCTTCTTCGTGATGCTGCTGCATTTCTGCCTTGTGTGGCTCTTTTCATGCCTTTTAGCGTAAAGGTTAGGATCTCTCCGTTCACCTCCTTTTCCATATTTAGAGTATATAGCTACAGCATGCTTCTTTCTGTTCTATAGATTTTTTATTTTTTTTTTTTTTTTACAACTTGCATTTTTTATGCTTCTTTCTGTTCTATAGATTTTTTTTATTTTTTTTTTTTTTACAACTTGCATTTTTTTTTTCCTTTCTGGTCTTCCAAAAGAAACAGCAAGTCTTTGCAATAAGCTTTTCCAGAGCTGGTGGTACTTCAGTAGCTGTGAATAAGCAAGGAACGAGTGATGTGGCTGTTCCAGTCTACCCAAGTTCCTTCTCTCCTTCGTGCTCTTCCTGCAGCTTGGTCAAACTCCCTGTTGACTTTTTTGGATTGATGACAAAAGCTGAAGGGGTATTTTCTTGCAAAGCAGTAGCTGCTTGTGATACAAATGTCTGGTGAAATCTGGTGAAGTGGCTGCCGTGGGAGCATTGGTGCTCCAGCGTAAAGGTCAGCGCCCCTCCAGCGAGTGTATCAGAGGTAATAAGCCTGGTCAGATGCCTGCAGGGCTCTGACTCAGTACCTGTAAAGACGTCTTGCACAGTGGGCAAGTGAGCAAATGACGTACAGCAAAAGCCCTCGGTAAAGGTGACGGTGTATGGTGACCTGCTCCCAGAACACGTAGCTTTGTGCTCCTTGACGGGCTTCCCTCCAAGGGTATGACTTAAACCCTGAGCCCCCCTCCTTTACCACATTGCCTTGGGTGAAACAGTTACCTCAACTCAGGCTGGAGAGCAAGTATTTCACAGGGCAGGTTTCCTCTGAGAAGCATTCTTGCCTTTTGTATCATCAGGACATGCCCCTGCTCAAAGGGAAGGAGGAGCTCCTCCACCATCCAGCTATCTCATCCATTGTGCACTGAATCCATCTGCACTGGCCCTTCCCTAATTAGGGCAGCAGTCAACTGAAACACCTTCTCCATGGATGACCTCGCTCTTGCCTTCTCCATGCTGTGCCTCCCTGTGTTGTGCCTCGCCATCCTGGTGGCAGCAGCCCAGCCCATCCTCCTCCCATTGAAGTGACCAGCCTCGTCTTCATTCACTCCCTTTCTCAACTTCTCCTCAAAAGAGAAACATGTCAGAAATGAATTAACTTGTAGAGAAAATTAGTTGACTGCTTATTAAAGAAAAAAAACTCCACATTGCTCATACATGAGCTGCACATGCCTCTGTTCGCCAACAGTGTGTGGCCAAGAGAAGGACAGGAGTGATGTTCCTGGTAGGGTCCTCAGGATATTGAATTTTTGGGGTTGAAGATGGCCACTGAAGTGATGAGGACTGAGTTTTAAGTTGAGGAGGGTTGCTGAAGGTTTTTATGTGCCTGAGTACAATAAGAATATTAGAAAACTGCACAGTGGTGGAGATGGATGGAGCTACAGAGCCAGGAGGACCATGATATTCCCAGGGCTGGAGCGTCATTGTGGATATAGAGCTGTGGGTCACTGGGATGAGCCTTGGACCAAAGAGGCTTTTGGGTGGTCAGAAGGAAGGTGGCTCTGGGTGAAGGACTGTGGCTATAGGGTTGGTCACTAGGATAAAGCCATGAGAGGACAGGGCACCAATACTGAGATGGAGAGTATCAAAGACTGTCAACAGTGGGTTGATAGAGGGAGGCTGAACACAGAAGGGTGCTGGAGGTGACATTTGGGCAGTGGCTGGGTGAAGGCGGTACAAGGTCCACAGTCCCCTAGGTTGTCTACTTCATAGCTTCCCCTCATTTTTTATCAGAAGTGAAAATGTAAGGAGAAGATTGGATGCTCTTTGTAGGAGAGGAACGCATTGCACCAACTTGCGCAACTCCTGCCTCTGTTTTCACTCAGCACACCACGGCTCTTGTCCTAGTGCATCTTGCCTCACTCTTTGCAAAGCTCATCAATGATTGTGATAAAAAACAGGACCCTTGTGCAGATAGAAGGTGGTCAATGAGGAAGTGGCTGTCACAGCTTCAGAGTTTGGTGTCTGTCAACAGGGACAAACTACCACTGTTGGAAAACATGCCCAAGTGCAAAGACCTCATCGAGTGGTGGCTTTTATCCCAAAGCAGTTTCCCTGTCCGGAGTACACCAGGCTTGAAGACAAACACCCCTGGGCTGTTCTTGCTTGGGGAGAAGTCTCACTGTTTATTGGTGGTGAAAGGAGGTTGGTTACATGGACTTGGTGTCGTGCAACTCCAGTAGTGGACTTTGCCCTCTAAAGCACCTCTGGGTGCTCAGAAGATAGCACTGCTGGCATCTTTACTACGGTCAAGAGCAGCTGCCTTCTCCAGGGGTGTCATAGTGAAATCCCTTTTCACTAGTGACCAAAGGGAAAAAAAGTAACTACATGTGGATGATTTAAGCTACAGGCATCTTGGGTTTGATGTACAAGAGATCTTATTGCTGTTAGTAATTCCCTGGAATTCTCCATTCAACCTTAAGTGGCAAATGAGGTGAAAGAGTTGTTTCGTGCTAAATATTGCTGAAGGAAATCACAAGGAAATGAGCCCATACAGATAATGTTTTCAATTTATTTGTATAAACAATTGCATTTTAAAAACATTCTTGACCTACAAAAATAAAGTGAAAAACAATTCACGGGATTTTAAATAAATAAATCTCAAACATACATGTTTATCATGAGCAACATGAACCCAGCCAAACCCAGCAGGTTGGGTCACAGGTAAGTGGCTGTTGAAATGCAGCTGCAAAGTACAAAATGCAGAGTGAACATGATACTTTTCAGAAAGCTTAACTCAAGTGACATGGTCTGAGGAATTCCTCTTTACCTACCCCAAAATAACTTGATGTGTCCAGGCTTGTCTCCCTTTGACTCTAAAGCTAAGCTAACTTTTCCTTGTTAATGACAGAAGGGTGCTCTGAAGAAGCATGTTCCAAAGATAGATCTGAACGACAACGACATGTTTGACAAGTGGCCACGTAGTTTTCACTACTTGAAGTAGCCTACATATCAATGACCACCTTTAATACAAGGTTATTAAAGTTTTTTTTCCCTTCTTCATGCTTTAAATAGAAAGAAGGAAAACAAATGTCTTTCTTTCTCCCAAAGCACTCATACCAGAGACCACCTAAAATCAGTCACTGGTATTGATTGCTGCAGGAGATCTCAATTCAGCTATTCATGCTAACGACTACAAACTTACACAACATAAGGTAATCCGTGTCTCTAAACAAATCAACAGAAAAAGAAGTCACAGTCAAACTACACTACCGCCATAGCCGTTACAATGCACGAGCCTCTACGAACGTTTGAGAGATTCAGAAGAAATATAAAACTCAAGTCCTTTTCCACAAGTAGTCAAGGAATTTTGGGCAGGGGCACAGAATACCAGGTTGCTGCTCTATTCCCGTCTGAAGTGACTTTTTCTTTTTACCTATAGTTCCCCAGCTGTTTTTATGGGAAGATCATCTTCTACATTTCCTCTCTAGAAATTAAAAAAAAGATACCCTTATATGCAAAGTGCTGCTACAAAATCCTGTGTAACTTCTTATGTGCCCCGATGAGAATACATATTTTGGTGCTGGACCAGGATGCATATGTCTAGGAGATTTTGTGCTGGCTAGCCAGTCACTTACTTAAAATGCCTCTGTTTATAAGTTAAAAACAAAACATTATCCCTCCTTCCCCCATTAAATACAACTGTAAGTAACAAGTATGGCTTGCGTACACAGCTATAAGCAACCTTCCAAGCCTCGGTGCCTTGAAGTTTTGCTAGATCTATTCTGCATTCATTTCTCTACTGTGTATGTTTACACAGTTTCCCAGTTTTCACTATTTCCCAATAATCTCTGTGTTTTGGGTACACAAAGCTATACTATAGTCACATTCTTCACTAAAGCCATACTGTCTGTTTGTCCTTAAAGTGACAGAGATTAAAAGTCATACTAACAAGTAGACCAGAGGACTACAGCTATAAAAATAAACACCAACACTTTGGACTAAGGTTAAGACCTCCCCAAACTTCAACAATGAAACATCTGTATGAAAGTACAAGCAGCCTTGTATTGCAGCCTGAGAGTCGGTTATTTCTAAGCTCAGTACATACGCTTCAAAAAACAAGTGGGATCCAAGAGAAGTTCTATTTTCTTTAAATAATTAAATTAAAGTATAATGCCACATGAAAATAGATTTACACATAAAAAAACCGAACACATAAGTTACTATACAAAGTGCCTTGCTTGCAATGAGGGAGAGGTAGTATCAACAATAAATGCAATGCATTTTCTGACTTTTATATAAATAAGGGAGTTTCAAGTATTTTTTTTTGTTAATCTTGGAGTGCTTATACTGAATTCATTATCTTTTCTGGCAGTTTTCATCAAGTCAAATTTTTCTTTTACTTTTAGTTCATTTGCCCATTTTCAAATTTAATAAATTGCTGAGGCAATAACTCATTTTTGTAGTGTTATGTGAGCTATCAAGTGAAAACAAAAAAACCCCAAAACACCAACCCCCTTTGTCAAGTATTAAAACAACATTAAAAAAAGTTGGAATCTTTGTCCACTTTGGAATACATAGTTCTGTTACAGAAGACTTTAAACAAGGGATTCACCACTGTAGAGCTCAAACACAGAAAATCCCTTTTGTAAGTGGAAACCTTACCCAAGTAAGGAATCCAGGGTAACCCCCACAACAAAGATGCTCAAGTTTTTTGTTTTGAAACACTTTAAACCATAAATAGAATAAATTAGGTAGTTAAATAAATAAATAGGTGGGTTTTTACAACTCAGCAGATCGCTCTTTCAGTAGTAGTGTGGGGTTGATATCTTCCATTGCTGTTTTTGAGGTACTAACATTAATAGTTGCCTCTGTGGGTTCAGGATTTAAGATGTGGAAAGCAGTGAAAGGACAGCCTTTCACATTGTTGCAGATGAGCTTCTGTAAGGAGGCAGTATTGATTATTTCAAAGCCCACTTTTCCACCGAAGGTGCTAGGCTTCCAGTACTCAGGGGAGCAGATAGCATTTCCCATCAGTCCTTTCAGCGAGAACGGTGCTCCAATCTCCACCATCGTTTCACCAAAGATGGCACCTGGTCGTGGCTTTTCTACCAGAAGGCCTGGGTACAGCTCCATGGCATCAATGTCTCCATAAAGCTCTTCCAGCTCAGCTGCCATTTCTTTTTCTCCTGTAATTATTGAAGAGTAAAAACGGTAAGTGGGAAAATCCTATTTTCATTCAAGACTATCCCATTCAAGTCCCTTAATGGCACTGCAGGACTCTTCACCATTTTAAGAAAAGCATCCTTGTTTGTTAGAAAGGATGAAAACTGTTACCTGTAAGTTCTTCAAATGATTTGAATGGTTTCAACATGAAGCGTTTCCTGTACTCGTTCAAGGACTGATATCTCATTTGTCTGCTTTGGTCAATTGAAGCCTTTGCTACTTTCTGTACTGCAGCAGGAACATTTTTCCCACCAGCCACCTATTTAACAAAGATGAAAAGTAGTAAGATCTCTTGAGAAGGGTCATGAGGCAGTTGTGCCTTTATAGTGTATATATAGCTTTATTCTACCCCCTTATCCCACTCCCACTTTGTCTCTGTTGACTCACTAGCAACTTCAGAAAACACCTACCCTGCCAGCACTTTGCTTGGAGAAAGATTTCACCATATGGGAAAGGCCATGTTCCACCATTATAGAGTTATTGTAGAGGAACTGCTGGAAAGTGTACTCTTGGTCGTGTATCTGGAACGTGTCAGGCAGAAGCGGATGCCAGTGGTAGAGAGTGTTGAATTCAGCTGCAATTCGGTTCTGGTACTGAAATCGCTGGTTGAACAGCAGCTCAGGATCAAACTTGAGTTTGAAGTGGTAGCCACTCAAGTGTTGTACATAGTCCTCAATAACAATCTTGATTGTCTCTCCTGTTGGTCAATGAAACAGGAGAAAATATTGGTACTGGTTCCATGAGAAACTTTAGATTGTTACCATGCTCTGGGAGAAAATACCATTTCTGAACTGTTCTAAAAAAACCCCAAACTACAGTGATCAGGGTAACAAGCACTTCAACATTCTGTAATCTCTTCTAGAAAATAATTCATCTATCTTATATGACTAAGGGGTGGAGCAGTACTTTAGATCCAAGAGTTTTTGACTGTGGTAGAGAAGCCTTTTCTGTAGTCTGCTTCCCCCCTCAAGATACACTTCCTTGTATGTTTCACAGAACAGCACCCATCAGTATCTATGTAGTGTTTAGTTATACAATACTCTAAGGTAGAGGTAGGGAATAATGAGAAAGTTGGTATCTGAAGGCAACACTTAGCTTCTGAGCTGCTTAATACAGTTGTCCTGGTTTATCATTTCAGTCAGTTTGGACATGGTCTTTTTAAGCTTAGTGTACATCACCGTTTACGTAAGATGGAATACCAGAGAACAGTTAGACCGGAGCAATCTTTAGAAGTACATTTTACATGCTTCCTGAACTTTAGACTTAATCACAACCTTTGTCTTAAAGCATACCTGAATTGACCCAACCCTGGGGGGGGGGGGGAA